CTTGTCACTTCACTTTCCTAAAATTATTAAAATTATTTGCATTCATTTAAATAAAGCTGAAATAAAATAGAAATACTAAATGGAAAACTGAAATTTGGAAATGTTGCCATGGCAACTAAATGAAAATAAAGAAGACCTTAAGTAGAAGTACTAAAATGATTAAAGACAAATCTAAATAAATGAAAGCAAAATAGAAATAAAAAACTAATACAAATTATAAAAGCACATAACAAAATTACTCAAAATGAAAACTGAAAATACAAAAATAAAATCCACTTCAAAATATTAATAAATACTAGAATAATATATAAATAATACTAAAGAAACACTATTATAGAATATTTTGCAATATAATCACATTCTTGAACTTTTTTTTTTTTTTTTTTTGAGACTGCATTCAGTGAATATAATTAATTTAACAAAACAGATGTAATTGTTTATATCTTTGCTTTCAGAGCTCATGTTTTTGGAGACCAGTGCTCTAACAGGGGAGAACGTGGAGGAAGCTTTTGTCCAGTGTGCTCGGAAAATCCTTAACAAAATAGAGTCAGGTACAAAAATACCAGTGCCATTTACTGTTGCTTATAAGCTTACAAAAACATTTGAATCGAGCCGCTGTGCTTGTCATTTGGTTGTGTAGGCGAGCTGGACCCGGAGCGGATGGGCTCAGGAATCCAGTACGGAGATGCAGCGTTGCGGCAGCTGCGTTCTCCCAGACGGGCTCAAGCAGGGAGCGTGCAGGAGTGTGGCTGTTAACACAGATCCCAATCAGCTGACCAACCAGGTGACGGTCCAGAGGGTTTACTTCTTCTTTCTACTTACTTTTCAGACCCGAGGTTTAAATATTAGAAGCTGTCCTGTGGGGTTTCTGTACTTTTTTTTAACATAGTGAAGTGCAATCATTTGTTATGTTTATTCTTTGATACTAATTTTCTACTTGTTGCTAATATTATAACCTTGATATCTTATATCTTAAAAGAAAAAGGTCTGATATGAGTGTGATAGTTTGAATGTATGAGGGTGGTAATAGTACTGTTCTTCCTCCACTAGCACTCTGTACCACTCGCAGCGACAACATCCACTAATAATAGCTGTGCTGCATTCAGATTTAATCAGATACAGTTGTTCACATGTCTCAGAACATCATTCCCTGCATGTTAGATTTAAGAGTCTGGTTCGGTGTGGTAACGGTTATTTTCTGTTCAGTGTCCTTTTCAGTCTTTAGCTTGAACTTTCGTTTTTCTCTCACTTTTTCCTCACTATTTTCATTTCTTAAATGATTGCATTTTTCACTTAAATGTTAACAATATAAAAATCTAAGGTGAAATAAAAAAAGAATACAAAACAATTGGTCTGAAAATATAAACGTAACATATTTATGTGGTAATCGTTTGTAAAACCATTTTTATATAGATTGTTGCATTGAATTGAATGAGATATTACAGAAATTAATTTTGTATTAATTAAGACCTTTACTGGTTGTGTTTTTTGAATGAGGCCCAATTTCTCCAATAACTTAATTATTTTGCATTAATTTCTGCTCACTACTAGTTTGGATTTTCTCATTACCCTTTTCCTCTGAAAAGGGATGTTGTTCATTTCCCTTTTTATGGTAAAAAAATTCTGGTAACACTTTATAGTGAGGTTCTTTATTTGAGCAAATGCAATACTTTTACAGCATTTACTAATCTTGATTCATGTTGATTTGTACATAAATTGCCATTCAAAAGTAAAAAGCCCTTTTTCAACACTGATAATAATCAGAAATGTTTCTTGAGCTGAAAATCAGCATATTATAGAATGATTTCTGAAGGATCATGTGAGACGGAAGACTGGAGTAATGATGCTGAAATTTCAGCTTTTTAAATCACAGGAATTAAATTTCAAAAACAGTTATTTTGAATTAAAATAATATTACTGTTTTTATTGTTTTGTTTTTGTTTGTTTTTAAAAAAAAATAAATAAATGCAGCATTGGTGAGGATAAGAGACTTCTTCCAAAAAACATTCAAAAATCTTACCAACTCCAAACTTTTGAATAGTATGTATACTAATTCAATTTGTAAATGAACCTAGATTATTAAATGCTTTAAAAATTGTTGTTTCCTAATGTATTATCTAATGGTAATGAACTGAACTGTATTGTAAAGTGATACCAAACAAAACATAATTTTAGCTTTAGTCAAAGTGTTTCCATACATTGTGTCTGAAAATCAGCGCCTTTCCTTTCACCGCTGTCTGTAAAAGGATGTTGATAGGTGCCCCACAGCATCTCTACTGTATTTGGCATGCCCTAGCAGGGAGGAGCTCTCTTCAAGAAGAGGTGCTATTTTTGTCACTGACACCCACCAAACGCTGCTCAAGTTTGCCTCTGCATGCCTTACAAATGAGTGACGATGATGCAGCACCAGCACACACACATACAAATGGCCAAATGTTTCACCTTCTTCCGCCCCCTTGAGGACAAACAAGTCCTTCAGACCCCTTCACCCTCTTATCAGTCAAATGCCACATGAGAAACAGTGTCAGGGGAATGGATATATTTAACTCCAGATCCTCCCAAATGCTTTCCAGGGTTTCTGAGGGGCCTTATTTGGAATGCGAGCTAGAAATAGAGATTCAAGGTGTCCGAGGAAGATCCAAGCTGATTAGGAAGCAGCTCCTTCAGTTTGTAGACAAGAAGAAAGGGCTCTGTCTATATGATCACCTGCACTTTTTCTGTGTCCTTTGGCCAAGGCAGGTTTTGTGAACACGAGGAGGAGGACATTAGAGGGGAGTTTGACGTACAGCTCATCATGGTGGAGTGACTGTTTCTCTCACCTTAGTTTTACTCCTGTTCTGACATGCTGGGGGACCCCCTGTGCTCCAGAAGGCTCTGGAAAATGTTTACTGTCCCCCTCGGGCCCAAGCCAAGACATCTGTGGTACCCAAAACCCTGAGGGTAGCTAAAAGACCCGGCCCTTGTCCCTGAGAATACTGCACTGAGCCCCTGCCCTGTCTTTCCCTCTTCCATATGTAGATGTTGTGTAGAGAAGAGTTTCTATTATCACCGTGGAGCATGTTTCATGGTTGCAGTGCTACGACATATTCATAAATGACTATATATAGCATATATATAGCTTAGGCATACTGTATCCCTGCTTTATGGCACGCACCTGTAAATCTTATCAATGGAGTTTATCGTGCATTATCTTGCTAGCACATTGTTTCCTTTTTATTTGCTTTTGATTTTTTTTCCACGTCTGTTGTATTTTATTTTTTGGTTCGTATGTTTTAGGAAAGAATGCTAGAATGTTTGTTTAAATTTAAGGGCCAGTGCACACTTACCTTCATATCGCACTGTAATACATTGTCAGTATGAACAGCTTCAAAATCAGTGTTACATGCTCTATATTTATTGTAAAGCATTCTTGTGCTGCGGTCCCATTTTAAGGTGTCTGTTGGAATGACACTGTGTTTAAACTGATTTATTTGTTTTCGAAAATAGATTGTTGTTTTTCTCTCCTTTTTTTGTTTTGTTTTGTTGAGAAAATGTATTTTCTTATTTTGATCTACTTGTCCCCTGTACTTCTCTATACATTTTAAGTGAACATATCCAAAATAAGCTTGCACCGAAAATTAACGATAAATCATTGTGGACCTGACTTAATGCTTGTCATTATGTCTTTCTATCAAGCTTTTATGTTTGTAAAAATTTTAAATGGGACAATTGCCAATAGTCATGTTTAACACTGCACTGCATGGTAGTTGGTTCTTGGTTTTTCATTAATCTTGTGTCGACACTTTACATCGACCTCAAAAAAAAAAAAAATTCTGTAGCACTGATGTGAAGAATTAAGATTTGATTTAAAACTTTCCCAATCAAATGTACAATTTAGCTGCTGAATGTAAAATCAGTGTTTGTAAAAGTGTAAAACTTTCTGGGCAGCTTTCTTCTTGCAACAAATTAATTAAATTGGTAACACTTTACAATAAGGTTCATTAGTTAACTACATTAGTTAACATGAACTAATAATGAACTGCACTTATACAGCGTTTATTAATCTTTCTTAATGTTAATTTCAACATTTACTAACACATTATTAAAATCTTGTTAACATTAGTTAATGCACTGTGAACTAACATGAACTAACAATGAACATCTGTATTTTTATTAACTAACGTTAGTGAAGATTAGTAAATACAGTAACAAATGTATTGCTCATGGTTAGTTCATGTTAGTTTATACATTAACTAATGTTTAACTAATGAACCTTATTGTAAAGTGTTACCATTAAATTTAAAAAAAAATGAAGTGCTCCTTGGATCTGACACATGGATTAGGTCTGGGCAAGCTTGCAGAATCCTGATGTCCAGGAACAGCATGCTGTAATGAGTTGGCAATATAAAAATCTGCCTTCTGCATTGGTGAGAAAAGAGTTTCATATATTACTGCAGCAAGCCTGTGAACAAACTTCCTTACCTACAAACATGAGAACTACTTTAACAACCATAATACACTTCTAAAAAAAATTTATACTTTATTTTACTTTAACACCATTAACAGCAACCTATTAAAAAAGTTAAGACTAAAAACTAACACATTTGTGACCCTGGACCACAAAACCAGTCATAAATGTAAATTTTTCAAAATTGAGATTTGTACATCATATGAAATCTGAATAAATACGCTTTCCATTGATGTATGGTTTGTTGTGATAGGACAATATTTGGTACAAAAATAGTTGAGATACAACTATTTGAAAATCTGGAATCTGAGGGTGCAAAAAATCAAAATACTGAGAAAATCGCCTTTAAAGTTGTCCAACTGAAGTTCTTAGCAATGCATATTACTAATCAAAAATTAAGTTTTAATATATTTATACAAAATATCTTGATGGAACATGAGCTTTACTTAATATCCTAATTATTTTTGGCATAAAAGAAAAATTGATAATTTTGACCCATACAATGTACTTTTGGCTATTGCTACAAACATACCCGTGCAACTTATGACTGGTTTTGTGGTCCAGGGTCACATTTACCACCAGACTGTCCTTGTAAAGAAAGTGTTTAAAAAAACTCATCACATTTAAACACATCTCAGTTTCACACGCAGTAATCTAAACTCTTAAATTTGAATATCCTTCTAAACTGCTTCCATAGCAGACAGTGGAATGGATATTAATCATATTAATGTAACTCATAAACATTATGGCTTCATTATTTTTACCCTAAAATCAACACTATCACATAGTACATGACATAATTCACTATGAAGATGTGATATGGGAACAAAATACCTGTACATTTGTTCACACAACACATTTCTTCAGAGATGAACTAAAAATAGTCAAATTTAGTTCAATACCCTTGTATAAACAGTGTACAAATATCCCAATATCATCATTTCTCAATAATAAATTATATAAAATACAAGAAATACCTGAGTGCTACTAAAAACCAAATAACATCACACTGAAAGTTATACTTGATGAACAGCTGGAATTGCTTTTGCGGTGTATGGTCTCATTCAAACTTGATTTGTCATTTTGCTGTGTATGTTTCATGCTTCAGATACCAGTGACTTTTTACATTATGTAATATTACTGTTCTGATGCAAGACCACATGGAATGCACCTTCAGTGTGAATATACAAGTAAAATATAATACATCTCATATCAAAGTAAGCAGATATTAATATAACGGATCGATTGCCAATGTGAGACTATAACAGATTACAAAGATTCATGTTGGCGCCAATGATTTCTGTAAAGTACAAAACAGATTTCTTTACATTAAACCTATTAACACAATGAAGGTAATACACAACATTACAATACATCACATTATGTGTCTATAATTGTCTGACAATTAATGAACACTTATTAATTGGCTAAGAGTGCAAAGAGACACTGGTAGATCTCATGGCCAGTAAATCTACGCAGCCCTGCAAAAATCATGCAACAAGGCATGTGATTGTTTAACAATTTGCCCTGTAGCATCAATGGATGATGTTTTCATGTTTGATATGTACCAGTAAATGCAACATATCCATGGTGTAAATAAACCCCTAAAATAAAACTTGAGTTATAATTCATTGTGGCCCATTCTGGAAGACGGGAAGTGAGCTGGACAGATGCGCCAGTCATCAAGTGAAGTGTTTTTAGTCGATTAGCCCGAGAGGGTTAGATAGATACTGACATTTTCAAAGGATTTCAGAAAGCAATGCTACCGAGAACGAGCTGAAAAGCAGCGCATGTACTCCGTCATCCAGGGGTTGAAATCGGGGACAACCTTATTTCTGTTATTTTCAAAGTCAGCAGATCTGGCTCTTTGTTTGCCAAATCTCTTCATCTGTTTTTCCACCTCCCGTCTGGTTTTTACTCGCAACGCTGACTCATGGATCTAGACAGAAGAAACACTGCATGAAGTATGCATGAATAACGATAAGCAAATGAGTACTTAAAGGAATATTTTACCCAAAAATTAAAATTCTGTCATCATTTACTTACAAAACAGGATTGGACCACATTGACTTTCAAAGATATTCCTTTAAAATAGTAGTAATATAAAATGACAGAATTTTTCATTTTTGGGTGAATTATCCCTTTAAAGTCCCAATGATGAAAACTAAGCATGTAACTACTTATGTTAACCAAACTGTAATAGTTTTTACTATATTACAATTTTTTCCCCCAGTAAATTTCTTACTGGTCAGAGCTCTCTTATGATATGGTATGCTTCCAGAAAGGATCCTCACCTCTGCAGTTGATGCTGTAGCACCAACATTATGGGTTTTCTTGGAAGCAATATCCGTCTGCCTCTCTCCTGCACCATACAGGGCAAAAGGGTGACGATTTTCTTTTTCAGGGTCTTTGTTTGCATGAGGCTTGACCTTCGATCTTGTATACTTGTGTGAGGAGCGGCGTTTGCTCTTTGGTGTGTTGAGGATATGCGTGTCAGTTTCTGGGTTGAGAGCAGGAGAGCTTTCTCTGGCTCTCTCTTCCTCCCCCTCTTGATGACTCTGCTCAGCAACTCTGGTAACTAGCTCTGTTGATAAAAGACCGAGAGATCTGCATGGAATTTTACATTTTGAAAAGTGTTTTAATAAAGTAGTTTTCATTAAGTACCACAATTTCTTGTCTTTATGCCTTGCTATTTAGTTTTCCATTGTGTCTTCAACATTATTTTGCAAATTATGCCAATGTACCTATTTCAATCAGGTAAAGCGAGGTTCTCTAATATAAACGGGCTGAAAATTATAAATAAATCATGTTTCTCTCTGCATGTCATGATATTCTAAGTGTTTATGATACTAGCTGTATTGTTACTACCATAAATATTAATATTAAATGAATTTTTTTTTAAATGCCAGTGCAAATAAATATAAGTATTAGAAAAACTATTCATTTAATATTATCAGGTTTTATTTTAGTTTAAACTTTAATTTTGTTATGTACTTTTGTGACTATTTTTAAAAATATATATTTCTATTTAGCTTTCATTTTAGTTTCAGTAATTCAATTACTGAAATCAATAACTTTTTCAGTTCCTTTGGCAATTTTCTTTCAGGTTTTTTTTCATAAATTGACATTTTGTTCTAATACTTGTATTTAATATTGTTATTTATTCAGATTTATTTCAATTAACGAATACTATTTTTTAAGATTTAGTTAACAACATCACTAGTACACAGACTATTTTATAAAGATATGAATAATATAAAAGATTAGAAATAGTAGATAACAGCCTGTAGCTCGGGACTTACTGGTGTCTGCAGTGCCTCTGTTCAGTGCTTCTGCCTGTGGTTCTGGTTCAGCTGCTGGTTCAGGAGTCACACATGCAGATCGTTCTGCTTTCTTATCATGGGTCCTCTCAGGTTCAACTTTATTCTGATTTAGAGAAGTAGATTTACCACTGGAGCCTGTCTCGCTCCCCCATTCTCCCCAAAACCAGGGGTTGTGCGCTTGCTCCAACAGCCGTCTCGACAGTCTGTACTTCAGCAAATCCTCATAACATTTTGCGTAAGTGTCCCATTTCGGATCTTTAAATTTCTTCATGTATTCGGACCGAATTCGCTTCGTCACCATATTTCACTATCGTTTGACTGCAGAAAAAATAGAGAAATTGTACATTATATAGCTTAGTAGTAGTCTACTGAAACTGAATTATGCAATTCTGAGTCTATCCTGAATCCGCCCACCTCTCGCGCCAGACATTTAAACCAAATCACTATGGCAACAGAATTCTAATAGGCAAGCGAAGGCCAATCGCTGGCCAGCTGTAAATGGCGCTCCTTAGACACGCCCCCATGGCGTCATCTCCGAGCTCTCTGAACCTCTTAACGTATTTGCATATTAGGGTTTATAAGGTGACACTAAACATGAATGTTGACTTCAATAATACAGTTCATTAATCCAAAACACACGAATAAGACAAAGACATTAGCGAATTATAAGAAGTGTCATATATAACGTGTTGCCATCGACAGTATGCTGAACAGAGAAACGAAAGAGCTTTAAGTAGTCAACGTTGAACATCAGCGTGTGACACAAGGACTACCTGAACGAAACCACACAGCGCGCGGTACAGTAGTTTACACAGATGTTAAAGCTGCATTACTACGTCGACTAGTGTTTAAAGCGAATGTTCACGTGACAGCAGGCAGTGAACGGAGGCAAGTTTAATGTTGATTCACGCATAAACACTTGTCAACACTAATCTGAGCCGGGGTTTTTTGTTTTTGTTAATCTATTTACTTACCGTTTTGATTTACGCAGGGACGAGGGAAACAGATGGCGCTTGTTGTCTGCAGGCGTCGCTTGCTTTGTAAAACACGGTTGTAGCTCCGCCCTGTGGTAATTAAAGGCGCTGCAGATCACGAGAAGACATCAACAGGTGTTGTCTACGGTTAAAGCTCGACCTCTCAAAAGGAGTTCAAAGAAAAAGGTTGAGGGGGCTTAAAGGTATTTTTTAATTATAATATATAAATATTTATAACTTTTGAACAGCGTTTCGAACTGTCAAAACAAAAACACGTTACATTGCGCTAAATAGGCTAGCGAACATACTATCTATCTATCTCTCTATCTCTCTATCTATCTATCTATCTATCTATCTGTCTGTCTGTCTGTCTCTCTGTCTGTCTGTCTGTCTGTCTCTCTATCTGTCTGTCTGTCTATCTATCTATCAGTCTGACTATCTATCTATCTGTCTATCTGTCTGACTATATCTATCTGTCTGTCTGTCTGTCTGTCTATCTCTCTGTATGTCTGTCTGTCTGTCTGTCTATCTGTCTGTCTATCTATCTATCTATCTATCTGTCTGTCTGTCTGTCTGTCTGTCTGTCTGTCTATCTGTCTCTCTATCGGTCTGTCTGTCTATCTGTCTGTCTGTCTCTCTATCTATCTCTCTGTCTGTCTGTCTATCTATCTATCTATCTGTCTATCTATCTATCTATCTATCTATCTATCTATCTCTATCTGTCTGACTATCTATCTATCTGTCTGTCTATCTGTCTGTCTGTCTATCTCTCTGTCTGTCTGTCTGTCTGTCTATCGCTCTGTCTGTCTGTCTATCTGTCTGTCTGTCTGTCTGTCTGTCTATCTGTTTGTCTATCTGTCTGTCTCTCTATCGGTCTCTCTGTCTATCTGTCTGTCTATCTATCTCTCTATCTGTCTGTCTGTCTATCTATCTGTCTGTCTGTCTGTCTGTCTGTCTCTCTATCTATCTCTCTGTCTGTCTGTCTATCTATCTATCTATCTGTCTGTCTGTCTGTCTGTCTCTCTATCTGTCTGTCTGTCTGTCTGTCTATCTCTCTATCTGTCTGTCTGTCTATCTATCTATCTGTCTGACTATCTATCTATCTGTCTATCTGTCTGACTATCTATCTATCTGTCTGTCTATCTGTCTGTCTGTCTATCTCTCTGTCTGTCTGTCTGTCTGTCTATCGCTCTGTCTGTCTGTCTATCTGTCTGTCTGTCTGTCTGTCTGTCTATCTGTTTGTCTATCTGTCTGTCTCTCTATCGGTCTCTCTGTCTATCTGTCTGTCTATCTATCTCTCTATCTGTCTGTCTGTCTATCTATCTGTCTGTCTGTCTGTCTGTCTGTCTCTCTATCTATCTCTCTGTCTGTCTATCTATCTATCTATCTATCTATCTATCTGTCTGTGTTTCTGTCTGTCTGTCTCTCTCTCTGTCTGTCTGTCTGTCTGTCTGTCTGTCTATCTTTCTGTCTGTCTGTCTGTCTGTCTGTCTGTCTATCTATCTGTCTATCTATCTATCTATCTATCTATCTATCTATCTGTCTGTCTGTCTGTCTGACGGCGTAGCTTGACGTTTGAGCTTGGGGGGGCAAACCGAACCGGTGGATTTTAAACACATTTTAGTTTTGCTTTGGGGACAGGGGGGCCTGGCTCCCCCATAGCGATTTAAGAATTGTGCTAAATATTTATTTATAAAGTTTTTTCTATGAAGTAAAAATGCATATAATGTAGTTAATAGTACATGTAAAAGTGAATACGTAAAAGTTAATACATTTTAAATTGTTATTGTAAGTAAATTAATAAATCAAAACTTATTTAATTAAAAAATCTCATTTGCGTAAGAATTGTCACGTGATGAATCTGCATTTTGGTGGATAATAGACTTAACGGTAATGCTTGCCTGTTGTGTGGAATAAAATGATGTTCCGCGTTTTTAACAACATACACAAACTGCAGAGAAATCTGGAGACAATGAAAAACTCAGATGAAGATATTAATGCCGTGCTTAATGATTCCGGACCCGGACAATCAGATAAAGGTGATCCACAGGCCGCAGCCGGTTTAGCCGCACACTACTTTTATGCTGACCATTTACATCCAAATGTTATTTAATTTTCACAGAATACAACCTTTAAATAGATTTTAGAATATAAACTGTTTATGTCTATTCAATAAGACTAACTAAAAAGTGTGCGCCTCATTGTGCATCAACTTGAATCTAGCCCAACAAATGTCTGTTTTAAAAACAGTGGATGAGTAATTCACTCCTTGATTTGCTTAATAAAAGCCTCCTTTGAGATCGTTTTGA